ACGTACTGTCATATTGCCCAGGAAGACTGCGAGCGCCCCAGATGTGATCTTCTGGAAGGGAGCAACAGCATGGGCTAAAATCATTGTATCAGTACATACAGCAGTACTTTTGATAATCTGCCTGATTTCAAAACATGCTGCTGTTGTTTAGCAACACAGCATTGGTAGAATATATGTAAATATATTAGGCATCATATATCTAACATTGGTATAATATAACTAAAAAGTACTCCTATTATAGTGAGAACTTAAGTGGCCAAACCACACTCATAAAACCAGCACAAGTCCTCCAGTTAAAAGAGATGGTCCCGGGGAAATCAGTTTCTGCCAGTGCAACTGCATCTATGTTAGGGGTATCTGTAAACACAGCTGTGCTGCTCTGGAATCCCATTTCTTCACAGCCACTGAAAGCCTGAAACATAGCTCTAACCTAACATTTAAAAGAGCTCTGTGCCATCTTTAGAAAGATGCTAGTCTGTCTTGAAAATCTGGATAGAGAAAAAGAGGCTGCAAATATACCCACTTAAATTTCAATAGATTTTTGAGATTCTTTTGTTCTACATGTACTAAAATGAGGGACTAGAAATCAATTCCCTTCAAGGCAGGAAATGTGAGATAGAAGCCAAAAATATGACAAACCATTTGATTGTAATTAATCAAATGGCATTAGTATTTTTTTTTTCATTTAACTGTTATCTATAAAACCCCAAAACATAGCTAAATAATAGATGTGTAATAAATTCACAAAGCAAATGACTCTATTTAACACTAGCATTACATCATGATCACTCCCAACCTTACCCTTCCAGTTAAAGGACCATTGGTGCTTGTTTCTGTTATTAATCCAGAGGATATGCTTCTCATGTTCAGTGACCCAGTTCCAAGAAGTATCACAATATAGAAGCCTATTTTCCACTTCATAAACATGCATAATTCCTGTGAACGTTAGCACTGATTATGCACACTTACACACTCTAGGGCATATTCATCTAAAGCCAGTGAATTCAAAAGATCTGAAGAAAAATGTATTTGGCCCTCTAGACTGCTAGAAACCCTAAAGAATGATAGGAACAGTCCAGAATGTTTTATTGGTATATTTTATTTTAATGACACTTTTGCATATTAATTCCTTCAGCTTTCTGCCCACAATGCTAATGATGTTTTATATAAGATAAAAGAAATAAGGACTTTTTTTAGGATAGAAAAAAAGAAAAATGAAGAAAAAAAGCAAGGATTAAGCTTAATAGTTAGGATATTAGCTTTGAAGATGGAAACTGTCGTTCCAGACTGTCCGATGCCACTTATCACTATTTCCTGCAGAAAAAGAGGTTAGTTGGGATATTGCCAGCAGCCCAGAAGGGCCTATCTCATCACAGGTAGAGCAATGAGAGGACGAGAAGTGCAGATTCAAACTCTTTACAGGGACGTGATAATTGATTTAGAGCTTCCTACAGCTCGATGAGTACTTAAACTACTGTGGTAAAGATAAGGCATTCACATTATCTTTGTTACTTAGGAAAGAAAGAGGACTTCAGCCACTTGATTTTGCTTTGACTTCTAATGTCCTAGATAGTTCTCTGCAGGAGAGGTTTGCAAGATGCAACTCACACAGGAAAACAGATGCATATACCCTGGAGAAACATAGAATTTAATACAAATTCCTGTCCTGAGCATTACCGTGTGGTCTTGCTTTGGTGTGTCTGTTTACAACATGCTGGCTGGATTTTCAGCTTTCTCAGAAGGTTATCCACAAATTTCTCCCCCTCCCAAACTCTTGGCCGACCGTTGGGGCAGCTAACTCGGTGTTTTCAGCATTTAAGTCTGTGGCTCTGGGCTTATAGTATTATAAACAATTGTTCGATGATCTATTTCAAAAACTGCTGAAGTAATCACCTTATTCAGTAACCTGGAGGAAAACATGTGTCCTAATAACTTGCTACAGATGCTGGATCCCAAGAAGAATCTACCCACCCAAAAATGTACCACTGTTTTTTACTGAACCTGTCGGATTGCTGACAGTGCTAAATATGCAGTGGTATAAAGTATATTTCTGCCTATTAGCTGCTCATTTAAAAGAGGTGTTCTGGACTAAATATTTTTATAGACGCTTCCACTAAAAGTGCTGCAAATATTTTTTCTGTAGAGTCCATTTGTATAACTGCTGTTTATTTTAAGCACTGCATGATTTGTACTCATAATGGAAACTTCAATAGCAAAGGCTTCCAAGCCAAGCTAGAGTCATTCCCCCTGTAGTCAATACATTCTTCATCTACATCAGTAAACAGCACAGTACAATTGACGCGAATACGTAGAGTGGAAGAATTAGTGTTGAGGACCTGACATCCTCATCACACGTGTTCTGGATGTTTTACTTCAGATCAACTCTAGCTGATTAGCAGGCATCAGATATAGTGACACATTGGGTGTGATCCCAGGACACATCTTTTGGTTGCATTTCATCAAAAAAATGCAGTTTCTGTGCCCAAAGGTTGTGCACCCCACTCTAATTGCGATGGAAGAGCAGTAAGTGGAGATAATCAGGAAATTCACCTCAAAATAATTCTCCTGATATAGCCGAAAATTTTTTTGCTCTTAAAGCTAAGGATAATTTCTATTGAATGTGAGTAAAAGAAAAGAGCTTTCTTTGCATCTTGGTCTGATGTCCCACACCCTTTCATCAATCCACATGAAAGTGCACCACACAACTCTCATGAACAAAGAAACAGTGTCATCTTAAGAAAATGTAAATCTGAACTGAAGATAAGTCTCATGCTTCTTTTCCAAATATATTTATTGATGGAAATCTTCAATAAAATCCAGTTCAGGCCAAGAGATAAAACGTCATCCCTCTCAACTGTAAGTTTATGCAGAGGAATTATTAATCAATACACGCTTCATACATTTTCACTCTGAATATGCATTAAAGGAACTGAAATGTTGTTAATGTAATCACAACGATTTGGGTCTCCTGCCGGTGGCTCCTCCTGGAACGATCAGATTTCACATCTGGGGTTTTGTCTGCAGCCAGCAGCCAGGGCAGGCAGAACGTCCTACGGAGGAGAAGTCGCCACCACTGACAGCACTCAGACTATCAGCTACTTGGAGAGCCCAGGGCCATTATTTTACAAGCATTTCTGTGACAGAAGGAGAAGTAAAGCTCTGGATTTACTACAGCTAATCGTATTTCTCCTCTGCAAAATTAGTATTTCACTCTGTATATAGACATTATATATAGACTGACAACAAACTGGACTAAATATATGACAGTACCATTACAGAGCAGATCTCAAAACCCATGACTACCAAAGCAAGGGAGACAATCTTATTTGATGTGCATATCTAAAAATATATGAGGCCATAAAACTGAAAGCCAGATCTTGCAGCATAGTAGGACTACAGAGCTGTCTCCAAATTTTGAGAGCAAAATACTGCTGTGCTCTTCATGTTATTTTTTGCAGTACCATTTTTGTAAACGTGATACTGAATTTACTCTCTGATATTTCTTCATGAGTAAAGTATCTTGTGAAATACCTGTGAAGACTTCAAACATCCCTTTAAGGGGAGGAAGTCCTAACAGCTTCGAGCTATTTTCAGAAGGTATCTTTCCCCAAAACGCAGAAAAACATTAAAAAAGGTATTAATCCCTTTATTGTAATTTGACAAAAAGAAAATAATGATTTCTAAAGAGTTAAATACTTGGCATACTTCATTTGGAACACATATTTTGTAAAGACCATTTACTTTTCCCAGAAACATGTAAGAGAAATTATTAGCTGTCTGATCTTGGTGGATGTGCACCGAGTACTATTTAAAATGGAAGCTACAAATTATCAGTCAATAACAAGCACAGTACCTGAGGCAGTAAAAATTCTTTCATTTGAAAATAATAGTTATTACAAAGTCAGCCATTTATTAACGAAAGGATTGTGAGGCAACATCTTGAGCCATAAATATTAAAATATGAAGACAGAAGCTTATTTATGTAAGCTGGAGTTAGCGGTTTTTGTTAGACCATTCATTAGAAGGAAAAAGGGGCTGGGTAATAATTTGCAGTGATCTGGTTCAAGGCTAAAGAAATGTAGGGAAGGACTGCAGCATGCATTTAAGGGAAAAGAAAGATAGTCCCACTTGTCTGCAGAAATCGTCAATGTGCTCAATATTAGCTACTTATATTTGAAAGGCTTTTTTATTTTTATTCAGCCTCACATTGTATTTATGAACCGTTCTGTTCCTACTGTTCATCATTGCGATCCAATATTTTTCCTAATTAAAATTACTTTGAAGTCTCTGACCTTTAGGCAGACACTCGATTCTGAATTAAAATATAATTATCTTTGTAACATGAATACACTTCTTATGCTGCCCCCATGGTTTCTTGTTACAGAATAAATACATAATAAATGTAAGGAAAAGACTACACTGAACTTGATAAAATACTGAAAAATAAGAAGAAAATACCCTGAGCAGCCTGGTTTTCCTTTCGTATATAATGAGGGCAAAGAGACAGGAGGGGAAAAATAAAGGCAACACTTAAAACGTAAAGAAAGAAATCCTTTGTGCACAACCCATAATTTATCTGCAGGACATACCACCACACAACTTCACCACTCTTGCTGAAACCAAAAGGAGAGTCCTTTATAGGAGTAGGTCCAGCAATCACACAGTTTATATTCCAGTGGTGTTACACAGGTACAGGAACAGGACCACAAACCATTCTTTGAAGATGAAAGAGGCCCATAAACTACTGAGTGCAGAGAATGTATTTATTGTGAGTAAATCATAGGTTTTTTTCTAAATGTGTGGTTCTCATCGCTGTAGCTATAGGAGCGGCTGGTGTGATGAGGGTAGCACTTCCCATTCATCTCCTCGTCTTCACCATTGCTTCTCCTACCAATAGTATTCCTTAGTCCAAATGACTGGCAGCTCGACCATATGTTTGCTTTACATTATTTTGCAATCTTTTCTACAGTTAAATAATAGGAATTTAACAAATAACTTACTTTTACGTAGAGCTGCTGAAACTCCTCAAGGTTCAGTCTACCACTTGGACAGTCCTTTAGAAACCCTTTGTACCACTGTTTTAGCTCGTGTTCATTGAACTCCGTGCTCTTCACCAGATCCTCCATCACCTCAGGGGCCAGCTTGCTATTCTGTTTCCCCATTCTGCCTTAAGAAGGAAGAAATTAATACAGTTAGCCAAGTTGCTGTGAACATTTTAAACTGGAATTAGCGACAAAGCTTGAACACATCACTTGTTTCATACTCACTGCTGCTTTTAGTCAAACACAACTTCACAGATTCACTAGTGAACAGGAACCTAAGCTATGCTTGAATATCAGAGGCTGAAAACAGTGAAAAAGACAACATTCTTCTTTCATTTAGGAGTCGTAAGGCCTGGAGACAGATTGCTCATGTGCCTTCAAATTACGTAATTTCTAGCTTTTCTTTACACTAAGGCTGAAAAAGATGACTGCACTTTTTCTTTGAATTTAACAAAAATTTTTCACAGATTCAGGGATGTCCACAGAATTCCTCTTTGTCTTGAAAATCTCTTTTGATACAACACCCACCTTAGCAGCTACTCTTCACAGGTAGAAAACTGTGGGCAGACAGGCTTGTAATGTACAGCACTAGAAGTTCCACTGGGAGGAAGCAACGCAGGAGTCCACACATTTGGTCTCAAGAAATGATGAAACCAAACTGGAAAACTAAATGTAATTCTTATATATATGCACATATATGTGTATATATGCACATATGTATACATATATGTACATGTATATATTTACTGCATAGTTGATACACAATAGATGGCTTATATTTCACCACTGTTAACTCTGGAGATATCCACTACATTTTGTATACAGACTTATAAATATTAAAAATAAAACATACAGAAATACAAAATATGCATGTGTGTATAGATAAATACAGTAACTTCAGTACTACTCATGTTGGCCCTTTGAGATATTTCCAGGTCCACTGATGCTTGACCAAAGATGTCCTTTGAGAGAACTTCTAAGAAATCCCTTTCTTTAACTTCTTCCAATTCTACTACACTTTGTTTCATAACAGGAGATGACTTTCAGTTATTTTTTAATCAGATGACAGACAGTACTTAACTTGTCCTGTACAGAACTGCAAAACAATGAATAATTTCTTTCCTGAGCCTAGCTTAGCATTTCCATTTTGATCTCCCAGTATAGCATCTGTCTCTAATGACAGTACCACACTGAACGCATTGATTTCCAGTCCATATCACCACCCATTTCTGATGTTCATCTATTACTTTTGCCATCTTCCCCTATGTCTAAGGGGAAGTTTCTTTCTTCTCAGAAGGACATTCTTTGTTCCAACGTGTCAATATATTTATATAACTTCCTTTATGGGAACCTTCCTTGAGCTGACTCAAAGGTAACCATTCCTCCTGGTCTGTGTGTGGCCAACGCATCCTGCAGTGCCATACTACTGGTAAGTCTCTTCCTGAAACACCTCATGGCCCCTCTCCCCTTTGGCCATGGTCATCCCCAGTCTGTCCTCACCCCTTCTGACATCCTCCAGCCCACCAGGACAACCAGGGCTGGCAGCAAACCCCTTTGCTGAGACAGCACAAGACTTGGCCACACAAACATCCCTGACACGGAGAAGGAAGGTGTCTTTCAACAAAGCATTCAGCTGGTAGAAAGCTGGGAAATTCGGTCATCGGAAAGTACAAAATGCCACAACCCATCGGGCTAGAAACTCCAGCCAGAAATGTCTCAACGCCTCTGTGACACGGCTGATAGACAAGTGTGCTGTAATGTGCACAGATGTAACTGCAGGTGGAAGTGGGCCACCATTTCTTGGGGTGCTTCCAGCAAGCAGATCCTCCCTCCCCAGGCTCTGCACATCCTCTACCAACACTGCAAGATGCCGCAGTGCTTTCTTGCTCGAGGCCCTGCATCTTCTCTGAACACGCTGCAAGGACTCACACAGCTTTTAATTAAGGGCAGCACACTGCTTGCTCTAAGCTTACTTTGAAGCTTTGCCAAGCTCCCATCCACATGTTTTGGTAAACTTAGCATAAATATGAGAAAGTTCAACCTTTCAGTTAATTGCCACAGGCCTAATTGTACAAGCAGATGTCCAGAAATAAGCCATTTTGACTAAACGGTGGGTTTGCAACTTATAGTATTTAGAGCAATTGCCCCAGCCTTATCTTTGAAGTCCCCATCTTCTCATGTATGACATTGATCTAATTTGGCATAATCTGAATTGAAATCCCATAGAAACTAAAGTGTATTAATACAGTTATTTCTCTAGCTCCAACTCACGTGGCTTTCAAGTGAAACAATACTGTTTTATTTGTTTTAATCTTTAAGGGCCCTGTTTATTTCACAGAATCACAGAATCACAGAATGGTCAGGGTTAGAAGGGACCTCTGGAGATCATCTAGCCCACCCCCCCTGCCAGAGCAGGGTCACCTACAACAGAGTGGACAGGACAGCGTCCAGGCGGGTTTTGAATGTCTCCAGAGTGGGAGACTCCACCCCCTCTCTGGGCAGCCTGTTCCAGTGCTCCACTACCCTCAACGGAAAAAAGTTCCTTCTCATGTTAAGATGGAACTTCCTATGTTCAAGTTTATGCCCATTCCCCCGCGTCCTATCACTGGGCGCCACTGAAAAAAGACTACTCCCATCCCCCTGGCATCCTCCCATTAAGTATTTGTAAGTATTAATAAGATCCCCCCTCAATCTTCTTTTCTCTAGAGTAAAGAGACCCAAGTCCCTAAGCCTTTCTCCATAGGAGAGATGTTCCAATCCCCTAATCATCTTCGTTGCCCTTTGCTGGACCCTCTCCAGCAGTTCCCTGTCCTTCTTGAACTGGGGAGCCCAGAACTGGATGCAGTACTCCAGATGCGGCCTCACCAGGGCAGAGTAGAGGGGGAGGATGACCTCCCTCGACCTGCTGGCCACACTCTTCTTGATGCACCCCAGGATGCCATTCGCCTTCTTGGCCGCCAGGGCACATTGCTGGCTCATGGTCATCCTGTTGTCCACCAGGACTCCCAGGTCCCTTTCCACAGAGCTGCTCTCCAGCAGGTCAGCCCCCAACCTGTACTGGTGCATGGGGTTATTCCTCCCCAGATGCAGCACCCTACACTTGCCCTTGTTGAATTTCATCAGGTTTCTCTCTGCCCAACTCTCCAGCCTGTCCAGGTCTCGCTGTATGGCGGCACAGCCTTCTGGCGTGTCAGCCACTCCTCCCAGTTTTGTGTCATCAAATTTCCCCTTTTTTCATTTTTTTTCCTTTAGACCGTGGTAGTCTTTGCAGTCATAAGGTGCTTTGCTTAAGACCCAGAGGACCCTTAAAGATTCTCAGCAATTATAGTAACCACTTTAGGCAGATTCATAAAGCATCTTTTGGCTCTCTTAATTTAGCCAAGTGTGCTTTTAACTTGAATCTTTTCACCTGGATTCTTGTCCCCATTAATATTTAACTCAATGACACTTACACATGAAAAAAAAGCATCTTCAATGGGCAAAAATCATGTGGTTCTGACTGACAAATTTTCTGTAATAGCAACTTTTCTGCATTTATCACATTAACTTTACAGCCCTTGGACCTGGCACTACACAGAGATGGAAGAAGAAAGAACTGTGAATCTCAGCACTACCACCCAAAGTTAGCTATGTTCTCTTCAGTACTGTGGACGTAAAACACATATGTAAGAATACATGAATAAAGAGCTGGATGAACATATCCACACATAACCTGCTCTGTCATCAGATTTGGAAAAACAAGACACCGGTTTTCTACCTCTGTGATATAGGTCCCTAGTTTTGGTCAGCTGCTTGTTGTGCTTTAGGCTGTCCAGTAAGTCCCAAACACCATCCAGCCATCCCTGATGTGCTTCACCATATAATATCCTCTGGTAAATGAAAACCACAGTTGACATATTGATAAACACTTTCAGAAATAATTTCTTCCACAGAACCAATCCAGTATTTGAGGAAGGTACAATTTGGGACTGCTGGGTTCTGTACTCTTACTTGCTGCTCCAGCACAGTACGGTGCACAATCTGCCGGGCTCTGTTTGAGATGAGGGACTGAACAACCTGACCAAGCTGGTCACAATGCCTTCCTGTAATTAGAGGCATTCATTCTTTCTTCTCATTTTAAAGTTCTTTTTTTTATGGAATTGAATTACAATCTGTAAGAAAGCTCAAGAGTCTCATATAATTATCAAATATAAACTCACACTTCTGGCTGTGGGAGATCTGGCTTATTTGGGAATAAAAGCTCAAATACATAGATTATCTAGTTAATCATATTCTAACGTCTTCTCGAGTTTCATTGAATCTCTTATTATTATTGAAAAAGTACAATCACCCATTAGCAATGAGTATGCCACTGCCAACACATTTAATTTTCTAAAATGAAAACTATTTTTAATTAACTTATAATCATGGTTTCCCAAACATGTTTTTTTCCTTGTGAAAATCGATGAATATGCATTAGGAAAAGACAGGAGAGAACAGCTGCACAATCACTAAGTTTTCAAGAGGAGGAAAGGTCACTCTGCAAGAATTTCTTTGTTTAGTAAATTTTATTCTTTTAAACTATAAATTTGCTTCCAACTTCCATGCTTCCAACCATGCAATGTGACAATCCAAGCACTGTTACTCATCTTCTGTTGCGTTTTCTGATTGGCAAAAATAATGAAATGGAAAAAAACAACAACAACAAAAAAACAAAACAAAAAAAAAACCCAAAAACCAAACGAAAAAGCAACATGCTTCAATTCCAAACCATTGTGGGGGAGCGATTCACGATAAACAAGGAACCGGGTACGTGGGTGGCACTGAGCATCAGTAAAGGTGTCAAGTCTGTTCCCAATGAAATTACTCTGGCAGGAGAATGCTTATTAATATTAGCAAGGGCAACACAAACCAGATCAGAGATCAAGAAAAACACTAAAATTCTACTGTTGTGCCACAAGTAGCAACAGCAATGAAGGCTGAGTTTAAAAACACATCGCCTTGGCTGAAATGCTGCAAAGGGGCCATCAGCTACCCAGAGAAACAAGCTTTTCAGAAATGCTTAATATAGTAGTACTTCAGGACTTCATTAAATAACTCCTTAATTGCTGCTTTTAAAGGTCCATAGGAGAGTCAGATTGAAAAA